TCTGTACATTCGAAACATGAGAATTTTTTTAAGGAGTTAAGAGTTTATGTATATTATGTTAAGAGTTTATGTGTATTATGTATTATGTTAGATTATGTGTATTATCCTTTCAAAAAAGATTATGTGTATTCAGTTATACAATTCTGTACATTCTATTATACAATTCTGTACATTCGAAACATGAGAATTTTTTTTAAGAAGTTAACAGCAGACACAAAAAAAGGTACAAAACGTCGTTATTTTGTGTCAGTGCGCACAATGCATTATGCACCATGGTGCACGGTATAATTTGCCTGTAATATGATTTCTATCTTGACATATCACAACTGAAGAGGTTATAAGGAAGAAATATAAGAAATTATTAAAATATTTGTGTATTAAATAAATGCTAACGGAACTTAATAATTTTTCTGAGTACTATTGACTCTATTACAATGTAGTATTTGTTCTATATATACTTTTTCAATCTAATGCAGCTCAAAGAATCAATACCCTACAATCGGGGTTAGACCTTGTGATCTTTCCTCAAGGAAAGCAACAGAGATGTCATCTGAGCACAAGGTGCTTGGCAAACTTAATAATTTTGTCGTTCTAACAATTAAAGCTCTGTTTGACATACTTAGATTAAAAGTTAGTACTTACTAACTTATATTTGGAATAAGGGTCAAATATTCACCCAACTGCATACTAAAGTGCAATTAGGCCATCGAAGTCAAAAAAATGCAATGGGTCTCTGAACAACACAAAATTATACAATTAGGTCTAAAATAATCTGTTTACATGAAATTGTAGGTTACCGATTTTAAAAATAATTTTAAATAAAATAATTAATTAAAATTATTTATAAAAAAAAAAAAAAAAAAAAAAAAAAAAAAAAAAAAAAAACTTTTGGAGACGATTCGTCTCTATGGCCAGGAGACGAAGGTTGGTCTCCCTGGCCATGGAGACGAAGGTTCTTCGTCTCCATGGCTGGAGACCATCCCATCGTCTCCGGCTATGGAGACGAAGACCTTCGTCTCCCGGCCATGGAGATGAAGCCTGCCGGAGACGAATCGTCTCCGGCAGGTTTAGTTTAGTTTTTTTTTTAATTAATTAATTTATTTGAAATTGAAATTATTTTTAAAATCGGTAAAACTCACAATTTCAGATAAACAGGTCATTTTGGACTTAATTGTATAATTTTGTGTTGTTTAGGGATCCAATTGTTTTTTTTTTTTTTTTTTTTTTTTTTTTTTTTTTTTTTTTTTTGAGTTGAATGGCCTAATTGCACTTTGATGTGTAATTGGGAGGTCTATTTGACCATTATTCCAACTTATTTTGAAACACTACATAGAATAACGTTTCAAAATAAATTATAATTTTAAATTCATTATGTTTTATCAAGCAGAGTTTATAACTTAATTGTACCTAAGCTCTACTAAACCTAATCTTAAACTACAACTTAATTGCAAATGTAAGCAATAAATATATATATATATATATATATATATATATATATATATATAATAACAAAAAGTTATGAACTAAAATAACTATTACGGAATAATTGATGGACTAAAAATACATTTTTTAAGTACCAAAAAAAAAAAAAATACATTTTTTTATGGTCAGATATAATTATCCCACCAATGCATACTATTATAAATATAAAGTGATACTGTCTCTTTATGAACACAAGTCCTTTTTATTTAGTAGACTAGTTTTTTTACGCGCATTGCGCGATTGGGATAATACCCAATGCTTTTTTTTAATTAAGTACTTTAAAGTATATTAAGACAGGATTATATTGAAATTGTTCATGCATAGATAATTGAAGGTTGAATTTGTGTATTTAAATAGGTAATTCTTCTCCCAAAGGTTGAGTCCCCAACCCAAGGGCCCCCCACACTCCGACCCGACAGAGCATTGTGGGAAGTTGTAAATCACGGTGACTCAATGGTTCAGCAGACATGGCCAAATGCTGATACGCACAAGGAATCTGCCCACTTTGGACATAATTCCCACACTGCCGCCGCCGAGGTTCAAACCTTTGTTTCTTCTCCCAAATACTACCCACTAAACCATTGAGCTAAGCTCGTGCGGGTTAAATAGGTAATTCTAAGTTTTCAAATGCAAGATAATATAGTCAAGATTGATTATAATTGTCAATAAAATAATTGTATAGGTATGGTTGAAACCAAATACGGGACATAAGGGAGAACAAATAAAAATTAGGACATAGAATATTAAATATATACTAATATTGTTTGAGGAGATTCCGACATTAGGATTTGTGGTTAAGTTATATTAAGACTTTAATATTAGAATTAGATTAATGGTATAGTTATAATTCTATTTTAGACTTTAATATTAGAATTAGACTAACGGTGAATTAACGGAAAAGTTAAATGGATAATCATATAATTAAGGATAAATTAGAAAATCTTAAAAGAAAAAATTAAAACCTGAACAATATGAACCATTCATTTGATTTAATAATTTGGCGGTCATTTTTTCTACCCAATGTTAATAATTAAATAAATTCGATGGTCAAATCCGCTAGTATAATCCGCTAACGCTAACCGCTAACTGCTGATTGTCAAACAAGGACATTGCGAGGTAGTTCTCACTTCAATTTGTTGTGTGATTTGAATACTCTCGTTGTCACAAAATCTCTCAAGTAGTTAATATGGTTGGCTTTATTAATTATATTTTTTTAATTTTTTCATGGTATTAATAAAATACTTGATAAATAAATATATAGCATTATTTTGCATTATAATTTTGATATTTAATTAGAAAAATAGTGCACAAAAAAGATAATAGATAATGTAGTGAATATAATCAATTGATGAATTTGAATGTAAAAATTTTTAATTAAAGACAATATAACTAATGAAAATATTTCTTTTAATTAATTTATTGATAATTAATAATTTTTTTTTCACTGAATAAAGACATTGTAAGGATAATGTAGGCGAATATAATCAATTAATAAATTTGAATATAAAGAATTTTTATATTGAAGAAAAATAAAAACAATATAACTAATAAAATTATTTCTCTTATTTAATTGATTGATAATGAATAATTTTTTTTTTTGAATAAAGGCATTGTGGACACATAATTCTAAATTAAAGAAATGCATATGTATTATTTTTTGTTGTAACTACTAAATTATTATTTATATAATTTAATAAGAGTAAAATAGTGTACTAATTATGTCAACTTTGATTGGGATGAGGTTCGAACCTAAGACCTTTTTTTATTGAAATCAATGAGTAAGTTAACGGTGAACTAACGGCAATTCTTAAAATTTTAACGGAATTAGTAACGGTTTGCGGGTATTTTAGGAAATTTTAGTGTAAAATTTAAATCTGATCAATCTTTTAATTAATCTGAGCCATTTATTTGATTAAAATCTGTGACCGCCATTTTTTCTACCCATTATAGGCCTAACTCTCTTGGGCTCTTATTAGTATAGTAGATATTGACCATGTTTGGTAATATAGTTAGCTTATTAGTTAATTTTAACTTGTTTGATCATTATTAGTTGTTTAACTTGATTAAACAACCAATATAAGTATGATTAATTAGCTTTTTGTAACCGCTTATTACTCTAAAATGCTAAAATTCAAAATTCTGCTAAAAGTAACTTTTTCGATCATAAGAAAGTCATCTTGCATATAATCAATTAGAGCAAATACCAATTTTGGTCCCACGAGTATTAGAAAAATGACGATTTTAATCTACAAGTTTAATTCTTACCAATTTTCATCCACGACTATTGTTTTAGTACCAACTTTAATCCACGACTATTATTTTAGTACCAAAATTCATCACGTCGGTCACCCATATATTTAAGACATCCTGAAATTTAAAAATTTTAAGGGCATTTTCGTCTTTTTCAACTTAAGATTTCAATTTGAGCATAAATAAATGAATTTAAGCGATAAGATCAATCTCAATTCGCAGTTCTTCTCCTCATCCTATCTTAATTTGAGGAGGAAAACTGCGAATTTGGATAGATCTTATGACTTAAATCCCTTTACTCATGCTCAAATAGAGATTCTAATTTGAAAAGCACGAAACTACCCTTAATAATTTAATATTTCGGCATGCCTTAAACGAAGGGGTACTAGCGTGATGAATTTTGACACTAAAATAATAGTTGTGGATGAAAATTGGTACTAAAACAATAGTCGTGGATGAAAATTGGTAGAAATTAAACATGTGGACTACAATTATCATTTTACTAATACTCGTAGGACCAAAATTGATATATGTTCTAATTAATTATTAGCTAACAGCTAATTTATCATATATTTTTTACAAGAGTAAATACCCAAAATGGTCCCTCGACTATAGCTAAATTCACAAATTGGTCCTCGACTTTCACTTTCAATAAATTAAGTCATTAACTTTGTAATTTTAACACAATTTGGTCCTCTGTCTATTTGACCGTTTGTTGACTGTGATTTTTGAGGATATATATGTAATTTCATGGACCATCGTCAATTTTTTAAGGTTCTGGTTGCATTTCCAGACCGCACTGTTACATTTGAATCCACTGCCGAAAGCAATCTACCAAATCCGGTCGCCTTTCTTCATCCCCATTTGGATTCAATGTAGTTGAGTTCGTACCAGAGCGAAGAAGACGACGTGTTTCCGAACCAGTGCAACGTCATCCTGGAGGCCTCCACGTGCTCCGACGAGAGCTGAAGGTTCTTATGGAGATCGTCAATCACGGTCAACAAACGGTCAAATAGATGGAGGACCAAATCGTGTCAAAATTACAAAGTTAAGGACTTAATTGGTTGAAATTGAAAATCGAGGATCAATTTATGAATTTAACTATAGTCGAGGAACTATTTTAAATATTTACTCTTTTTACAATCAACTAATATTATCAACTAGTCAAACTTACTAACTTAACTATTTACCAAGCACTTTATTATTGAATTCCGCTAATTCACTAATTCGATTAGGAAGTTCTGATTAAAGTTATTTACGATTTAAAGGTATTCAGGACTATAGCAAAGCTCCGAATTCCAAAAATTCCTAAAATGATGGCGAAACGTATTCTTCCCACCAAGCTCCTCGGCCGCCATCCCACCCGTAGCCGCAGGTTCATCTGCTCCGGCGAAGCCAACCCCTCCACCGCTGCCAACAAAAATCTCCAAGAAGAGATGCGGAAGCTCCGAATCCTCCTGCAACAGAACCGGGGCGATAGCGCGAGGACTTTCATTGCCAATCTTGCCCAATCGAACTCTGTCTCCGAGCTCTACAGTTCCTTCTGCGCCCCCATGCCTTCCCCGACGAAGCCCCTCTTCGCTGACATGCTTTTCTCCGCCTATGTTGACTCCAAGCTTCTCGACAAAGCGAGTGAGCTATATTCATTGATGAGGAAAGACGGTAAGTTCCCTACTTTGTCTGGTATCAAAGTGTTTCTTGAAATGCTGAACAGTTCAAGACAGTACGGAAAGGCCCTGGAAGTGTTTTGGGATGCGGTGAATGCCGATATGCAGATTGATAGCAATAGCTATTGTATAGCTATACAATCAGCCGTGAAGTTGGGGGACTTGAGAAGGGCTCTGCAATTGATGGACTTGATGAGAAAGTCTGGGTTGCGTATGGATGCCTTTGTTTACAATGTGGTTATGGGGGGATTGTGTAAAGAGAGGAGGGTGAGTGAAGCCCGGAAGCTGTTTGATGAAATGCTTGAGAGAAGAGTGGCACGTACTAAGGTGACGTTTAATATTCTCATTGATGGGTACTGTAAAGCTGGGAACTTGGAAGAGGCTTTTAGTGTGAGGGAAAAGATGAGGAATGAAAAAGTAAAGCCGAACGAGATCACATTTAACACTTTGCTTAGTGGGCTTTGTAAGATGGGGAAGATGGATGAAGCTAACAAGGTGTTGGAGGAAATGAAGACTTGTGGATTCGTTCCGGATGGATTTACGTCTAGTATACTCTTTGATGGGCACTTGAGGTGTGCTGATATTGATTCTTCTTTGGCATTGTTTGAAGAAGTAGTGAAGAAAGGGGTTCGAATTAATGAGTATACTATCGGCATTTTGTTGAATGGGATGTGCAAGAATGGGAGAATCGACAAAGCTGAGCAGATTCTGAACAAGTTGATGCAAAATGGATATACCCCAACAGAGGTGATATTTACCACCATTGTTAATGGCTATTGCAAGGAAGGGAACATGGAGAAGGTTGTTTCAACTCTTGAAGAAATGGAAAGTTTCGGGTTTAAGCCAAGCTGTTCCACATTCAACACATTAATCAATACGATTTGTAAATCGGGTAATATGGAAGAGGCAGAGAGATGGTTTAGAAAGATGGCCGAGAGGCAAGTTTCTCCAACCGTGCAGACATACAACTTCTTGATAAACGGTTATGGGTGTAGCCATCAATTCGATAGGTGTTTCGAGATTCTTGAGGAAATGGAAAATAGCGGGCTGAAGCCCAACGTAGTAACATACGGTTCCCTAATAAATTGTTTGTGCAAGGATGGTAGGCTTCTTGAGGCAGAAGTGATCGTGAACGATATGATTGGTAGAGGGGTTAAGCCAAATGCTCAAATATATAATATGGTCATAGATGGTCATTGCACCAAAGGAAAATTTGAAGATGCTTTCCGGATTTTGAACGAGATGGTTGGGAGCGACATTGCACCCACAATTGTAACTTACAATTCATTAATAAACGGACTCTGTAAAAAGGGCAGGGTAAGTGAAGCTGAGGAATTAACTCGAGAGATTCCGAAGAGTGGTTTAACCCCTGATGTCATCACATATAATTGTCTGATCTCTGGTTATTCAGATGCCGGGGAGGCCAACAAGTGTTTCGAATGGTATGAGCAGATGAAAACTTCGGGTGTTAAACCTACCTTACGCACGTATCATCCCCTAATCAGTGCATGCAAAAAGGAAGAACGTGGACTGACCCTAGTAGACAAAATCGTGCAAGAAATGTTCGAGATGAATTTGTCTCCTGACAGAGTTGTATATAATGAGCTAATTTATTGTTATGCGCTTCACGGAGAGGTTGGGAAATCATTTGCTCTGCGCAATAAGATGGAAGAACAAGGGATTCATGCTGACAAGATGACCTACAATAGCTTGATTATGGCGCACTTGAAGAAGGGAGAGTGTCGAGAAGCCCGGGACCTTGTTGACGCCATGAAGGCTAGAGGAATTGTTCCTAATTCTAACACTTATGACACGTTGATTAGCGGGCATTGCAAGCTCAAAGACTTCGATGGAGCATTCATCTGGTATAGAGAAATGTTCGAGAATGGTTTTCTACCGGTCATCAGTATCTGTACTGAGCTGATCTCTGGACTTAAGGCTGAAGGAAAGTTGAAAGAGGCCCAGATCATTTGCTCAGAAATGAGTGCTAAAGGATTGGATGAGTTGAGCTCAAATGAGGATTTCTCTGTTGTTTCAGAAGCCTAGCTAGGTCAAATGTTTTATCTACACTCCAGCTCTCCAAGTACATAAACAACTAGCCCGCATGGCGAGCTCAGTTGGTTATAGGGGTCAAGTTTGGGAACAATGACCTGGAATCGAGGCTCAGCGGCGGTGTGGGAGCAACTTCTTAAAGTGAGGGGACTCTTTGTGTGCAGTAAGCAAAGGTCTAGCATCTGCGTTCGAGTTATCATGATTTATATCCTCTGATTTATCGGGTCGGAGCGTGGGGCCTTTGGAGTTGGGAATTTAACCTTTTGGGAGGAACAATACATTCTGACTGGAATTTTTATTTGTAGTTTGCATCTGGTGACTAGATGATTCATTCTTCATCAGCTTGAGTTTTGTGTTTACATTTATATTACATGTTAGCAGTCAAATACACATGTCTGTACATGCAGACACACACATTATTGTAAAAATATACATTTATATTACATGTTAGCAGTCAAATACACATGTCTGTACATGCAGACACACACATTATTGTAAAAATAAACGTATAAAAACAATATTATATTGAAAATGATTATAATATAGTGATTTAGTATAATTGTATGTTAATTTAAAATAAAAATATCAATATAGGTGTAATTTAAAATATTTTAATTGGAATTTTTTAATAATTTATTTTTTATATATTAATTTTGTTTGTATATGAAAGTTCGTGAGTCTTAAATGTAAGAAACTTAAGTGGTTCTTACTTAATTTTAGACAAATTAATTATCTGTTGTGTCAACAAATAAATTAAAGCAGATAAATAAATAAAATAAAAGAACCAGGAAAAATAAATCAAAGCAGATAAATAAAATAAAGGAACCAGGAACACGTGCGATATGACACAATTCGGAGAAACGTTCTCCTACTTCTATGGAGTCACTCAAAGTGAAACTCAACTCCACTAGATGACCACAAATATTACAAATGGTTGAATTGATTTTCTATACACACTATAGTCTAATCATTCACACCAAATCCAATCTTTATCATCTTCTGAGTTGGTAGAATCCTTGGAATCAAGGTTCCGGCAGATCTTCACTTTTTCTAAGCCAATATAAAGACTCCACGTCTCTATGGAATAAACCTCTTTCAAATTGCAGCACTTATCACCACTTGTAATAGATAGATAAACACATTAATTCAAGAAATTAATCTGATTAGGATTTGCAGAAGGAATGCCGTATATATTTGTTGTTTCCTTATTTGTTCACGCCACTTTATATATAAGGAAGTAGAACTCTTGATCTTTGGAAGTTTGTTGCATGAAGACTCCTTGAAATAAAGAGAGACATCAATAAATAACAATTTCCTTAAGAATTTGGTTTCTAACAAATTGTTGTTAGAAAAATACTCCTAATGCACTGTCCCTGACACAGTTCCTCTGTTGCAGCACTAATGACAGATCAAAACAATAAAATAGACCTATCCAATCTAAAAAAATGTGACAAATAATTAGCCAATAAATATGTCAAAAAGGTGTATCATCATAACATCCATAGTGCATAAACATCCACAGTGACAAGACTCTAATGTATACTCGATCTATGATAATATGCGCTGGAGGGATCAAGTGTAACTGGATTTAAGTTGGTGTGGAATTCATAAGTGACCAGGCCAAATCACAGTATGGTCTCACATCAGTGACAATTTGAAGTAGATTCTGAGTGCGAAGAAGATGAACCAGGTTGGAGCTCGTGGTGAAGCTGCCAATATCAACCTCTCGTTGATGAAGCAGTGCTCTTTCTTTGTTTAATTTGTCAAATGGACTTCAAGTCTTTGTTGCGAAGATCTGGCTTGAATGTAGATGCAGTAGATTCAGAACAATGTTTTGCCTTTGTTCAATTGGTATCAGAGCCAATGAACTTAATTTGTTAGTCTAGAGGTCTGGGTATTTGTAGTTTCAATATAAAAAAAAAAACTAAACATAATTTGAAAAAAAAAAAAAAACAATAATTTAGTCTATCTTAAAAGTAAACCATGTTCCATGGTAAAATAATCCATTATTTTCGGCAATCATTACTATAAATCAAATTAACCAATATTAAATTGAAAATTAATATAATATAGTGATTTAATATAATCATATATTAATTTAAAGCATTAAAATAAAAACATCAATTTATGTGTCATTTAAAAGATCTTAATTAGAGATTTTTAATGATATACATTTTATATATTAATTTTATTTGTACAAAATTAAAACTTAAGTTTAAAAAATAAAAGAATTTAATTTAGTGTACTTTAAAAAGAATTAAATTTCATACATAACAACTCGACCTAGTGACCTCAAACATAAATTTTATAAAAACCTTCTAACTAAGCTAACTCATACTTAACATTTTAAATGCATATTAAATACTTATACTAGTACATATAAAAGGTGAGGGGTAGGCTGGCAACTCCTTTTAGATTGTCGATGATTTCTTATTGTTAATTTGTTACAGCCCCCAACGGCCAGGTCACATGTCTATCTCTACCATCCCACTATCCAAATCCCCCTACCCCTAGTCCCTTAAATCCTTCCCCTTATAGTGCCTCCATCCATTTTATTTCAAAAGCTATTTCATTATTTCCAAAGATGGCAGACAAAGGAAACACTAAGGCATCGAGGAAAAGGGCGGATGGTGGAAGAACTACTAAGGGAAGAAGTATGACGACGAACGAAGAGCTTGTCCGCAAGGCAGATGAAGTGGTTAAAGAAGCTCACAAAGTGAAATAATTCGCTAAACGCGTGGTAGCTAAGGGTAAACATCTATCTACCTCAATTAGGGTCTGATTATATACATTGTTAAGCATTTCTATTTTGCTTTTTCAGTATTAGAGGAAAGGAATCCGATGGGGCGTATTTTAAGGTGAAGATCGTCAAGTTGCCGGTGAAGTTGCCGCCAGCCATGTTCAAATTAACTGCCTTCCAAGTTGAAGAAAGAGGAGGCGAGGCTACTGAGAATGCTTGTTAGAAATGGTATAGACCTATGTTTGACCTCTTCTTGAGCTGATGTTGAAGATGGGCCGGGGTGCAATTTGGGCAGAAATCTTGTGAGATCTTCTGCTTATTTCCTTTCTAGAATAAGATATTGAACTCTGATCTATTCTTATTTTCGTTTGCTTTTATTGTTCTTGATGGGATATGGAACCGAGCTCGGAAGACTAATACTAGCAGGCGGGACAATGAGGAGGATGGGTGCAAGGTTTTAAAAGGCGAAGGCGTGCCTTGAAGCGTTTTGTATTTTGAGGCGAGTCATAAGCCTCGAGGCGTAAGCCTCAATTTTTAGCCTCAAACTATATTAGTAAGCTATAAGCCTGTAAACATTATTCATAAAATGTTTTGGGTGTTTAGTGTTTTTAGTCATCTTTTGGGTGTCTTTATCTAAGATAGAATCTTTCTTGTGTTTTGGCTTGTGTAAGAAGTTGGTGGAGAAGAGGAACTCTAAGAAGAGGCTTAGGAGGGTGTAAAGGAGAAGTTGTAGTCTACAAAGGTAACTCATGCTATACAAAACCTATTTTCTATTGCTATGAATGATTATTGGCTTCTATTTGATGTTCTTGATGTGATTTGTGAGATTTGATGCATGATCTTGTGATGATGTATGTTTAGAGCTTGTATTTAGGTTTCTTGAATGCCATTGCTTGGCTTATTTTTGGGTTCAAGTCATATCGTTGTTGTGTGTGAGATTTTGGGTGTTTTGGATTTGAACTTGGCCTTGTTGATGAATTTCCTCGAAGGGAATTTTTGGTGTACAGGACTGTACCCGCGGGCAGAACGGCGGGCAGTGGCCTACCCGCCGCCCCACCCGTGGGGAACAAGGTGGAATGGTGGCATGTACCCCGCGGGGAACGTATTGGAGGGTTGCGGGGATTTGTTCCCCGTGATCCTTTTCTTCTTGGGATTGATGTTTTGACCTCCCGTTTTTGGATTATTGAGCTTTTGTGAGTCTTCTTGATGTTCCGTATGTTTAGAACGATGCGTTAGGAATCCATGTTAGGATTTTGTGTCTTGAATCGTGCTAAGGGTCCAACCTTGTGATTCGTTGGACTAAATGAGTCTTGAAGGTTCGTTGGAACCATTTTCGGTTTTCCCGTTTGATAAGCATGCTAGTTTGATGTTGTTATGCTAGTATGTGTGGTTTGTTCCTTCTTGTTGGAGTTGGCAACTCGGGTTGTCAATCATTTTGATGTTGGATTGTAGTCCTTTGTTGTTGAGTATTGTCTCATGACTTTATTGAAATCTCTTGATCGATTCTTAAGGTGTGATCTTGTAGAAATCGTTGTATCCTTTGTTGATACTTGATTGGGGCTATTGATGAGCCTTAGTCTTCTTGATGATGATGACTATGTGTGAATATGAATGAGATTGTTGGTTTTGTTACTTGAGCTTTGCTCACATGATCGGTGGTATGTTACTATGATTGAACGGTACCCTTGTGTACTATGAGTTCGGCGGTACTGTTTGGCGGGGGACGACGATCCTAGATCGGAAAAAAGGTTGGACTCAGAAATATAGGGTGGCACTCGGAGGTACAGGTTGGAACTGTGATAAGGCCAGGGGTAGCCATAAGGGTGGTACTAAGATATAAGGTTGGAATGTGAACTTGTCATTATGTGATTGTGTATTTCTTTGCTTATATGCATGTCTTTGATGAACTCTACCTTGTGAATGGTAGGTTGCATCTAGAGTTGTGTTGTCCCTTGTTGTTTGTGGTTTTGTTGTCTTGTTGAGGTTGATGATCCTCGTTCTTGTTGAGAGTGTGATGAGTCTTTGATGTTGATCTTCTTCTGGTTTTAAAATGACTATATATTGTATTCCTCAGTCTCAAATGCTTTTGATTATATCTATGTATATAATATGTTATTTAATGCGTATTGATGGGTTACCAGCTTTATTCGCTGACCGGGTGTTACCCTATGTTTTACAGGTTTTGCTTAGATTGGAGAGCGCGCTAGATGTAGACTCTAGTTAGCGTGGCTTTGTTTTTCCCTCTGCTTAGATTTGGGCCTGTGAGCCTTAGATAGATGTGGCCTGTGTGCCTTAGACAATGTGTTGTTATGATGGATTTTGTAAACTTAGCCTGTGCACCCATAGTTTTATGGGTGTGGCATAACACCTTTCCCGGATTATATTAGTTTCCGCTTTCTGATGTTTGATGTTTAGTCTGGTAATCTTTGAATTTAAGTTTAAAATTGTTGGTAAATTCGGGGGTGTTACAATTCGTATTGCGGGGGATTTAGGTCGTTATCTTGGGCTTCCTTCGGTTTTAGGATGGAATAAGACTGCTACTTTTCGGTATATTGAGGAAAGAGTCTGGGGCCGTATAGGGGCATGGCAGCACAAATGTCTTTCTAAGGCAGGTAAAGAGGTTTTACTTAAAAGGGTTACCCAAACTCTACCTATTTTTACCATGTCAGTCTTTTTGTTATCGGGTCGTGTTTGTGGCACCATTAAGAAGCTGTTTAACCGATATTAGTGGGGTGGGGGTGGATCAGGTCAAAGGGGAATTCATTGGTTGAGCCGGTCTCATATGTGAGAGCCGAAAGACAGGAGCGGGTTGGGTTTTAAGCGACTTCAGGAATTTAATTTAGCACTCATAGCCAAACAGGGTTGGCGTCTGTTGATTTATCCCAACTCGTTGGTTGGTCAGTTGTTGAAGGCCAAATATTACCCCAAGTGTGACTTCATGGAAGCACGGTTAGGAGGAATCCTAGCTTCATTTGGCGTAGTATTGTGATTGGTCAAAAGGTCCTGCAATTGGGGGTTGCCCGATAGGTTGGTAACGGGAAAGACACCAAGATATGGGGGTTGGGTTGGCTAGCCGATCCTGAGAACACCAAGTTAATCTCTCCTTGTATCGAAGCTCTTTAGGAAGCTAGGGTGAGTGGTCTTTTAGACGAGCATGGCAATTGGGACGTCAAAATTGTTCGTGACCTATTCCACGAAAGTGATGTTCACCGAATTCTTACAACTCCTGTGAATGTACAACTTAAGGATGTGTGGAGATGGCTAGGTGACTTAAGAGGGTTGTATACGGTAAAGCATGGGTATCGGTTGCTCACTTCGGCTGGACATTTGAATACGGCAATCACTGGTTTCCAGTCTTGGAAAGCACTCTGGTCGTTTCCGGTCCCTCCCAAAGTAAGGAATCTGCTGTGGCGGTGTGTAAGAGGCATTTTACCTGTTCGCGAGAATCTGGAATCGAAGAGGGTGTGGGTAGGAAGAGGTTGCCTGTTCTGCGATTTCATGTTCGAATCAGTGGAACACATCTTCTGTGAGTGCAGGTTTGCGCAGAGGCTATGGGGGGTAGATGACATACTGCAAGGGCGGTGCCTACAGGAGTTCATGGAGGCGATGTTGGGGTCTTTGTCAGTGGAGTCCGCAGTTCGTTTGGCAGCCATCATTTGGGTGGTATGGGAGACGCGCAACGGTATTCTCTGGAGAAGCACAACTCCTGTTGCAGAGAACATGAATGCCCAGGTGCGTGCGTTGCAAGCGGTATGGAAAGAGGCGTTCACAGTCGCTACTCGTACTGGGAGTGTTGGAGGCGTCTTAGCTAATTGGGAAACCCCACATCACAATGCTCTTAAGTGCAATGTGGATGTTGTGGTTCTTTCAAACGGAATTGGTTACGGTGCCGTTGTTCGTGATCATGAGGGTCGTTTTGTGGCAGCAAGAAGTGGCCGGTTGTAGTGTGATCATGATCCGTTTATGGCGGAATCTCTTGCGATCAAGGAGGCTCTCACTTGGTTGAAAGATCTTCATCATAACACGATAATCATTGAGTCTGATGTTCAAATTTTTGTAATGCTTTCAATTCTTGTTCGTTGGATTTTTCGTATGTTGGGTTGTTCGGTCGATTGCTAGTGACATAGGGACCGTTAAGGTTCGTCATGTCAAAAGAACAGCGAATCAAGTAGCCCACGAGCTAGCTCGAGCGACTGTTTCTTTGTCTGTCTCAGGGTCGTTGGGTGTTATCCCACTTGCATGTATTTCCGGTTTGCTAAGCCATTCATATGATTCTCTTTGTTGGTCTCAAAAAAAAGAATTATCATATTGGGAATGTGTTAAAATATTGAAAGCCAAAAAGATTATTGGTTTATATAGTATGTGAATTCGCAGTGAAAAGAAATTCAAATTTAAATAATGGATTATGATTTAAGTTGGTATGATTCTTCAGTTTAGAAGAAACATGAAAAGTTAAAGCTTTAAATAAAAAATGGTTTCTTATCCAAAGTGAATGCATATTTCTGAATGTAGGAGATTTATCGGTATATAATTTCTCCAAAGTTGATGATTTCTGAACTCAAATGGAGCAACATGGTGATTGAAATTCTTGATTCTAGAATGTGCAGAAAATAAATATTTATTGACTAGGGAGAGTATTAAAAGAGCTAACTCATGATGGTGGGAGTTACACCCGTCCACAGAGGTGCAACGAAGTTTCTTTATCATTATCATCAAGTCTACCAGTTAGACTAGCTTTGCAGCGTGTACACTCTATGCAAAGATTATATTTGTTTATTCCAAACCTGATACTATAAATACTCATCCTTACTCTCTGTAATACATGCGATTGTATGTATACAGAAATTAAGTTTGCCATCTTCCTCCCAGTTCCATCCTGCTGCTCTTGTTCTCATCATTATTATTATTATTATTATTATTATTATTATTATTGTTATTATTGTTATTATTATTATTTATAACAGGTTATTAATATTGAGAAAAAACACTAGTAACTAGGGAATTAACTCTCTGCATCACCAGGCCCTCATCTCTTATCATTTCATTGGCATCCATGAACTGCTCACACACATCTAACCCTATATACAAGAATGATGTCAGTTAGTTTGCAATTAATATTTCAATTTTCAGTCTCTCACTACTAACTAAATGGTGAAATTAATAACTATGATTCTAGCCAAATACTTAACATATTAGAGATGAGCATTCTTATAAAACATATTTCATTTGTTTAGTTGAATATGACATACTACTAAAACCCCTGTTTTTTTTTTTTTTTTAGCTCTTGGAGGTTGGTCATTCCATTTGAACGTATCAACATTGTTGAGGGCAAGATATCTGCCACCTTGTTTTGTTCTCTCGGGGCATGGACATAGCTGATTTCCCAATTCCTGTTTTTCGATGCTCTGCAAATGTCAATAATATTTCTTCCTTGTCCATCATAGTCTCCCACTCCATTAATCAGATCCACCGCCTTGACGCCTTCTTGTCGTCCGACTCTACAATCACTCTTCTGTAGCCAAGTTCCCAAGCCTTCTCGATCCCGGTATAGATACCCCATAATTCCGCGTCGCATGTGCCTATCCCAGGAAGTCTGCAACTGCATTTCGAAACACACCACCGCATGTTACCTCTGCGTTCCTGCTAATTCACCTTGGTCCAGCCGTGATCAGGAGGTTTCCAAGGTTGGCTGCGCCGGTCATCCTTTCGTTGTTCACCTTTTGGCCCTTGGTGTTTCTCCATGGCCTCTTCAATCTCCTTCAACTGAGTTCGTCTAAACCATCATATCCTTGAAATGAAAAAAATACCTACACATCAAAGATTCTAAATCAAAGTCCCAACTAAGATTGTTCAAACAAAAAAAAAAAAAAAAAACAAACATTGTCATAAAGAAATCAAAGTCTCATCTGCTCCTTTGTATTTCAGAGATTCCAAAGCACTTTTAGTCTTTTCCACTTCTTTCTTCCAAGCATTGAGCTCATTCTCAACAAAAACAGCCTAACGCTTGGAGAGCGAGCAAATACATTTTCTTCTCTTTCGGTTCTTTCTTAATATGATTTATTTTAGTTAGCAATTCTGTTTCAGCAATTGTGCAGACTACAACACCATTTCGGGCAATTCCTGAATTAGCAACGTATTGAATCAATTGTGTACCCTTTCCTGAGACAGGTTTCCCCAATCAAAACTGTCTATATTTTTTGGCAGTATTTGTGCAATACTCTTTATTGGCTTCTGTTTCCCAGTCAACCTCACCAAAAGGAATGTTTTTTATGTGTTCTTCAACATTTTGTGTTGCAGCCAAAGCCTCCAGAATTCAAATGGATAAAGAAATATATATATATATATATATATATATATATATATATATATAATGATTTCCCCTTAGGCGCCCGCTTAGGTTACCGGCCGCCTAGGGCCTAGCGCCTAACTCGGCCAATTTGGCCGCCTAGCGTCTAAGTTAGTCGAGTTAACTCGTCCATTTCGGTCGAGTTAACCCAATCGACGCGGCCTATTTTTTTTATTATATATATATGTGTGTGCGCGCGCGCATATATATATATATATATATATATATATATATATATATATATATATATATATATATATATAAATATAATATAACATATATACACTCGAGTAGTTTGGTACTTTGAATCTTTGGATGATTGAAGTATTTTAGTATTTCATATTTGAGTATTTTTAATTTTTAATATTGTTTTAATGTGTTTTTTTTTTTAAACTCTATTATTTAGATGTTATGACTTATGAATTATCATTAATTCATTTATTTGGATGTGTTATTTGATTAAATGTTGGAAACAACCTCATTAAAATTGTCAAACTGCAAATCTACCACTGTTTTTTTGGCTCCTGCCTAGCGCCGCCTGGATTCCGCCTAGGCGCCGCGCCTAGAACACTTAGGCGCTAGGCGCTGTCCGGACGCCCGACTAGCGCCAAGCACCTACTGCAACCATGATATATATATATATATATATATATATATATATATATATATATATATATATATATATTCAAATGAATTCTGGTTTCCTTTTAAGTTGTGTATTTCTTTTTAAACAAACAGGAGACGTAACAGCACTACCTAACCACCAATATCAGATCATTGTTTAAAAGGCGCGCCACAATACGAGGCGGAGGCAATGTGCATTGAGGCGTATGCCTCTTCCGTAGGAATAGAGGCGTACGCTTCAGAGGGGCGTGTCTAAGGCGGAATTTTGAGGCGAAAAGGCTAGCCCAAGCAATTTTTTAAGCCTAATAGAAAAAGACAACCCTATTACCCTAAAGAAGAAAGAAGCGACGGCAGTCTGCGAGAGAAGAAAGAATCTACTAGCTGCCTACGACTGCGAGAGAATAAAGAAGCGAGGAGCTCCATGGTCTGGCGACCTCCACTAACCAGTGACCCCAAGCAACGATGACCTCTAGGCAACGCCGAACTCCCTGCTCCCAGGTACATTTCTCTTCTCTTTTCATGTTTTTTTTTCTTGTTTTTCTTTTCTTCTCTTCCCTCAACGTGTGTGTGTAACTATATATATATATAGTGGCTTCATATATACAGGACACTTAGCAAATTTTTTTATATCAAATTTTTTGTTTTTGTTTTAAAGTACTACTGCCAACTGGCAGTGATTATTTGTTTTTAATATTGATTTTTTACCTTGTCTTTGTAGGTTGATTATATCTAAACATGGTGAATCATTTGAAGAAAAGTACTACTCCCAGCTCCAGAAGATCTTGTGGTGTATTTTATGAAAAATGCTTATAGGTTATATTAATATATTTTTGATAAAAACTGAGGCTTACGCCTCGCCTTAAATTACAAAATGCCTAGAGGCACGCTTCCGCCATTTTAAAACCTTGATAAAATAGTATTCAATTTGTTTAAGTATAGATAGATTAATATGAAAGAATACGGGTTTTCCATTTTGTTTCTTTTTCAGAAATGAAATTGATTAGTCAAAAGTTTCAAGTTTTATAATCTAGCAGTAGAAGTTTCTAGACTCCATCAAGCACATTTGGTTTTTTTAATTACTTAATGATTATTCATTTGTAGTTTTGTACTATTAAGTAGTATATTTGTACTATTTAAGTATATTGATTATTGATTTGTTTTAAATGTTGATTATTCATTTGTGCTATTTAAGTAGTATATTTGTGTTTTTCAGTATTGTGTAAATGGTTAAAAGTGCTGATTATTTATTTGTGTTATGATGTAGTATATTTGTTCTATAAAATATAGTATTTGATGATTAAAGTCATGCTTATTCATTTGTGATATGAATAAGGTACTAGTTTTAGACTATAAAATATTAGATTTAATTTTTAAAGTATTGAAGAATATCACCACAAATATTTAAGTGGACACAAACTTGAATGTGAGCGTCCTCTTATACATTTACTTCACCTCATATCATGCATGTTGCATAATACTCTAATTATCAGTATCAGATTTAATGGGACACAAACTCGAATGTGAGCCTCCCCTTATAGATTTACTTCACCTCATATTATGCGCATAATATTCTACTTATCAGTATCAGATTTAATGGCGAGTTGTTATTGGTCTACTTCACTGTCTAAATATTTACATGTGTTGTGTGTAAATTGGATATCAGATTTAGGCTTTGAAGTATTAAATTTAATGGTTAAAGTGTTTGTTTATTCATTTGTGATATGCAGTAGTATATTTGCTTTATAAAGAATTAGATTTAATGCTTTAAGTGTTGAGTATTCATTTGTGTTATAAAGTATTAGGCTGTAAAGTATTAAATGTAATGGTCAAAGTGTTGAGTATTCATTTGTGCTATTAAGTAGTATATTGTGCTATTAAGTATTGTGTTTTATGGTTAAGGTGTTGATTATATTCATATGTGATATAAACTACTAGTTTTAGGCTATATATGGTATTAGATTTAATGATGGTCAAGTGTTGACTATTCATTTGTGCTTTGAAGTAACAGATTTAGGCTATTAAGTATTATGTTTGATTTGATTTTTGATGACTAAAATGCTTATTATATATTTAATGTTGCAAATCGAGTATTAGATTTTTTTTTATTTATCATGGAAGATAAAAGCAAGAAGAGGAGACGAGGCAAAAATGTAATTCAAAGATATTTTTTTATTAGACGTGTTATATTCTTTATTTAAAATTATTACATTATGATTGTTTAGTGTTATCTTCCATTTTAATGTTATAAGCATTAATTAGATTTTGACTCATAAGTAATATTGTTATTACAGACCTAGTAGCTTCATCCATCACTGCAAACCAAATGGTTTGTGTCAGTTGGTCTCATTGTTTTCAAAAGTGCAAAAAGATGATGTTGAATCAATCGGGTTAGGGGGGCTGTTAAAAATGCAAGTTACAAAAGTAGATTGTACCAACATTTTGAAGTGGTTGGTAGACAGATTTAATGGTTCTAGCTGTATGCTAACCCATTAACGCTACCAATAGTTTCGTGATTACAGCAAATGATGTTGCAGATGTTTTTCAGTTGCCAAAGTATGAGTCTACCACGCTTTTGACAAAACGTCGTAATGAAAAAGTGGAGATTTTGGCTGAATGTGTATGGACTTGAGAAGGACACAACAATTTTAAAGCTTGAAAATTTACTTACGGTTAGGCTTTCATGTGGTGGTGATGACTTTAAAAGGATGTTTGTTTTGTATTGTTTATCAACTGTCCTTACACCTATTTCAAATAAGTTAGTAGATTTTACTGTTGTGAAATCTTTAATTAATGTTTGGCAAGATTGACTACTTTGATTGGAGCCAATATGTTTTAGATAAACTATGCACAACAGTGATAAAGTACTCTAATCCCTCTTAAGCCCGGACAAAAGAATATTAGTGGCTGTGTTCTACTGCTGCAAATTCTATATTTTCATAGATTGAAATGGCGGGGAAAGTTCAACCATCGACTCTTCCTTTGATTCAACATTGGACAAATGAAGATCTAAAGAAAAGGATGCTTGAGAAATACGTGCTGGAGATTTTGGGCTAGGAGAGTTGGATAATTCTACTTATCCTATTAGTAGTAGTATGGTTGCTACTAAATTTGAGGATGAGGTTCTTAGAGATAGATCAATGCCTTTATTTGATCTATTGACACCGGATGAAGAACTACTACAAAAACAATGTGAAGAAAATGATGATCGGATGGTAACTAATAATTTAATGACTTTACTACTTTACTGCTCCAATAGGCAATAGCTATATTTGCCTATAGTCCACAAAATGAATATATAATCTTTAGACTATTGAAGCAGTAAAGTAGTAAAGTCAATTAAATAATTAATTACCATTCGATCATTATTTTCTTCACATTGTTTGTGTAGTAGTTCTTCATCCGGTGTCAATAGATCAAATGAATGCATTGACTCGGATAACTTCTTCACAGCCAAGAAGTTTTCAACCACCTTATCGACATATTTTAAAACTTTAGAATCTCCAAACAAACGTTGACTATCCTGTGAAATGTGACATTGTGAGGAGCTCTCAAGTGCATTTCCCTTAATTTGTCCTTTTAGTTTCATAACCCTCTCCATACACTTGTTATAAGTGTCATATCCCTTTTCAATAGGAGAAAGGCACCTTTAAAAAAAATAATAATAATGTAATACTTAGCTTTAATAGGAGGATATAATACTTTAATCAAAAAATACAATACTTATGTAACCAATAAACAAGAAATAAACAAATACTTACATCTTTCGCCATTTTGTGTATCTCATCATTATCAAGTTCACCTTTAGAGATTGTGAACTTGGTAACTCTTGAAGATTCTTCATTGATTTCATCACAACCTCTACTACTTGATCTCTCTCTAGGAACCTCATCCTCAAATTTAGTAGCAACCATACTACTACTAATAGGATAAGTAGAATTATCCAACTCCCCTAGCCCAAAATCTCCAGCACGTATTTCTCAAGCATCCTTTTCTTTAGATCTTCATTTGTCCAATGTTGAATCAAAGGAAGAGTCGATGGTTGAACTTTCCCCGCCATTTCAATCTATGAAAATATAGAATTTACAGCAGTAGAACACATCCACTAATATTCTTTTGTCCGGGCTTAAGAGGAATTAGAGTACTTTATCACTGTTGTGCATATTTTATCTAAAATATATTGGCTCCAATCAAAGTAGCCAATCTTGCCAACATTAATTAAAGATTTCACAGCAGCGAAATCTACTAACTTATCGAAGTTAGTAGATTTCACAACCATTTATTAAAAGTAGGTGTAAGGACAGTTGATAAACAATACAAAATAAACATCCTTTTAAAGTCATCACCACCACATGAAAGTCTAACCGTAAGTAAACTTTCAAGCTTTAAAATAGGTGTGTCCTTCTCAAGTCCATACACATTCAGCCAAAATCTCCACTTTTTCATTACGACGATTTGTCAAAAGCGGGGTAGACTCATACTTTGACAACTGAAAAACATCTACAAGATCATTTGCTGTAATCACGAAACTATTGGTAGCGGTAATGGTTAGCATACAGCTAGAACCATTAAATTTGTCTACCAACCACTTCAAAATGTTGGTACAATCTACTTTTGTAACTTGCACTTTTAACAGCCCCCCAAACCCGATTGATTTAACATCATCTTTTTGCACTTTTGAAAACAATGAGACCAACTGACATAAACCATTTGGTTTGCAGTGATGGATGAAGCTACTAGGTCTGTAATAACAATGTTACTTATGAGTCAAAATCTAATTAATCCTTATATCATTAAAATGGAAGATAACACTAAACAATCATAATGTAATACTTCTAAATAAAAAATATAACACGTCTAATAAAAAAAATACCTTTGAATTACATTTTTGCCCCGTCTCCTCTTCTTGATTTTATCTTCCATGATAAATAAAAAAAAATCTAATACCCGATCTGCAACATTAAATATATAATCAGCACTTTAGTCATCAAAAATCAAACATAATCATTAATAGCCTAAATCTTTTACTTCAAAGCACAAATGAATAATCAACACTTGACCGCCATTAAATCTAATACCATATAGCCTAAAATTAGTAGTTTATATCACATATGAATATAATCAACACCTTAACCATCAAACACAATACTTAATAGCACAATATACTACTTAATAGGCACAAATGAATACTCAACACTTTGACCATTACATTTAATACTTTACAGCCTAAACCTAGTACTTTATAACACAAATGAATACTCAACACTTAAAGCATTAAATCTAATACTTTATAAAACAAATATACTACTTCATATCACAAATGAATAAACAAACACTTTAATCATTAAATCTAATACTTCAAAGCCTAAATCATATCCAATTTATACACAACACAAGTAAATATTTAGACAGTGAAGTAGACCAATAACAACTCGCCATTAAATCTGATTGTTTAGACCAAAAGGTGTCAAAAAAAAAATAGTAATGCAAGTGTTTACCCCTGGGCAAAATTTTATTAAAAATATATGCACTATTATTTTGTTTTGATACGCAAATTTGAGATATTCAAGATTCAAGACTCATGCCATATAATTTTATGATAAAAATTTGCACCATCAATATGCATGAATTTGGACAAATAAATCATTTGACTTCCAAAACAGAATTAAGTTAATTTGACATTAGTCATATAAGTTGTCCTAGTGGTATTATCATACAATTAGTGCTATGAATTCGCCTTCTGGGCAATGCTATGTTTAAAAATTCATGCTATAACCACTGGTTGATCAAGACAATCCTACAAGGACTATCATATAATGAGTGTATAAATTAATGGCTTTAATTTACCATATGAGCATAGCTCCCAATAAGGTTTAAGATAAATCTCAAAATATATGGCCTATAGCAAATAATTGTTACTATTAGGAACAAATCAATAAATGCTTCTTTATGATGACTCGCATTGTCATAAGCATTAGATAACAGTATGTGGTATAAAATTAATAGTCACAATTATCTTAAAATGACCAATTCAGTGTAGGCCAATAATAGTTTGATTACAAAGGGTGTTCACACTGTACTGATCAAGTAAATCAAGACTTGTAACACCCAAATATCCCATCAATTGCCTGGACTTCTGATCTCATATTTGAATTAAAAAGTCTCACATGTACACAGTGCTCACATTAAAACTGTTATCTTTAATTAAGAGCTGTCATCAAGTATTGCATCCATAATGGCAATTAATTTACTTGTTTACACTCTAGGTGCATAGCATACTTCATCTCTACAAAAAAACTCAAATCTTTTTCCTATAAACGATAATGTAAAACAACCTTAACAAGCTAACGTTAAGCCATTCCATCAAAATTGTTGGTGAGATCAATTAATACATACACTGTATGCCTGTATGTTGCCATATACAAAGGCATATCTCCCATTAATCAATGGACATTATAGGAACTATTCATAAAAAATGATCATCATGCATATTTAACTATTTCTAATGCACGGAATAATCATATATATATATCAAATAAATATATGCACGTAGAAATATTTCTTAGAAAGTAAGAATACTTAGCTGTTGAGGGAGTTATTTTACTCATTTTCTGATCATATCGATCATCTTCTACTCAAATCCACCGATATTCCGGTGGAACAAAGCCTTTCCGACGTAGAAGTCTCGGTCCTCAAATCAGATTTCCGCTTCACATTCCCTCCGGTCTATCCTCAGAGAAGGCCTCCCTGTCGGCCCCGAATTCCCCAAATGGCGATCATCCTCCCCGAACGTCATCTGTCAATTCAGAATGGGGATCGGATCTTTGAATAGAGGAATAGATGAAGATTGGAGGATTTCCGAAGTCGCCGCAATCCGCGATCTCATCTCAGACGATGAACGATGATGATCGCTGGCCCGTAAAGAGATCACGGACGAGTCTGGAAACCTAGCAACAATCTCCGATTACCCTTGCACCATTGTTTTCGTCGAAGCAGAAGTCTGAGATATCGCAAACGATGGCCAATCGTCCATCTGATGATTGCGATGGGTGGAGGCTGTGTCGGAGATCATTCTGGCCGGTTTCGAATCATCATCGCCGGTGTGTAGGCGTCGGATCGCTGCTGGAGAAAGGACAACGCCCTGATAAAGGCGACGAGTGTGGGGCGATTTTGGATTTGAGTTTGAGGCCAAAACATGATCGTAATTGGTTCCCTAGAATATACAGACCAAAGCGTTGATAACGTGTTAAAAAGAAAAACAGAATAGAGATAAAAGGGAGAAAAGGAGAATAAATGGGAATCTCTTATTCATTTATCTATGATCTCATTATACAACAACAACACAACTATATATATATTATACAAACTTAACAGAAGATATAATGAGGACATAAATACAAGAACAGTAACAGTCACGGCTTTTGGTTTTTGATGCTTGGGAATTATTATTATGCATTCATTGCATAGTTCAGTGCATTGATTAACACAACTGTGAACATATTAGAAACCAAACGCCTCTGATTATAGTTATTATAGGATTCAAAATATTAATAATAGGGAAATTTTTTTAAATCTTTTTTAATACTACGCCTCTGTTTACGCCTCTGTTTTGTTGTTTATTTTTTGTTATAATTTCTTAAGAAAAAAACTCATTCTTAGAGGTAATTACATATCAAATGTAAAGGAATCGGGTAATTTACGGGATAGGAAGCAGGTAATATATTCCAGTATTTTTATGTTAACATTTTATTATATAAATTAATTTATTATTTATTGAAATAAAAAAAAAAATTAGAGTATGCGATTTTAAAAAATAAGATTAACCTATTTTTTTATACTTACAATTTTGTTGATCGACAACAATTTAATTGTTCATTCTAATAAAGTTTTGAGAGGGAAAAATTAAAAAAAAAAGTTACTAAATTGAAAAAAAAAAAGATTTTTAAAATTAAATCAGTTGCTTGAACAATAATATTGGAAGGACGAATAAATTTAAACAAATAATTATTGAACTGATATTAAGTAATTAGAAAATATGATATTTTTCTTAATTTCGTTGAAAACAATAAATTTTACATGAAGATGATATTGTATTTATTAGTTTGTTTTAGATCTGCTTCGGTCACCCGATTCTTCAGATCGGCATTTGGAGAGGAAAGCAATTCCACAACAGCCCTGAACAGATTTTTAGCAGTGGATTACTTGGAGGTGTGATGATTTAAAATCGAGTGTGTCGATGATTTAAAATTGAGTGTGTCAATTTTATTGTAAGCCCAAGAAGCCGGAAACAGAGAAGGTTCGCGTAAGTCAGTGGAACATTTTAGAGAGAATGACGAACGCAACAGAGTAGACGGAAGCGCAATCGTCAAAAAAATATGGATTAGGGTTTGGTAATCAGCTTTTAATCTTTTATAATTGGGTTAATGGGCTCGGGTATTGGGCTGAAATGCAACGTAATTGGGTTATATGATAGATAATTAAATGTTTATTGGGCTTAGCATTGCAGGTTTTATTTTTTCTTTCATGAAATAAAAATATATCATATTTAGTTTAGATTTATATATGCTGTATGTATATTATTATTATAGTTAAGCAATGTTTAACAAAAGTTTTTTGTAGTTAGTTTCAATGTAGGATATTGATACTGTATTTTTTATTTATATATTGTCAAGTATATCTACTATAGGCTTTAATTGCAAATCATATTAATAAATGTTTTATATATAATAAAATTTAATTTCATTATTTTTATTGTATGTTGTTTGATTTCCTAATTTTTTAATTTTTTTTTTATAAAAATGTGTGTGTGTGTGTGTGTGTGTTTGTGTGTGTGTGTGTGTGTGTATATATATATATATATATATAATTATTTTAATGTAAAATTTTAAAATCTCATGTGGTATCTAACAACACATCTTTATAATAATATATGCTAATAGTATGTGATGTTCGATATAACAACCAATTTAGTATTGTTAAAGAAAAATATATTTCGGGAATGAATCTTTATTTCATAATTAATATTTTATTTTATTGTTTTTAAAATATTATCAACAATAAAGTTACTTAAATTTTATGCCGTGCATCGCACGGGGCAAAAACTAGTCTATAATAATGTCCACATAATAATATATTTATAACAGTTTCATATTAATCTATACTCAAATTTGTAATTTGAGGCCAGGCGTAAGCCTAAGTTTTTATCAAAAATATATTAATATAACCTATAAGCATTTTTCATAAAATACACCACAAGATCTTCTGGAGCTGGGAGTAGTACTTTTCTTCAAATGATTCACCATTTTTAGATATAATCAACCTACAAAGAATTAACAAGGTAAATAATCAATATTAAAAACAAATAATCACTGTCAGTTGGCAACAATACTATAAAACAAAAACAAAAAATCTGATATAAAAAAATTTGCCAACTTTCCTGTATATATGAAGCCACTATATATATATATATATATATATATATATAGTTACACACACGTTGAGGGAAGAGAAGAAAAGAAAAACAAGAAAAAAAAAACGATGAAAAGAGAAGATAAATGTACCTGGGAGCAGGGAGTTCGGCGTTGCCTAGAGGTCACCGTTACTTGGGGTCACTGGTCAGTGGAGGTCGCCGGACAATGGAGCTCCTCGCTTCTTTCTTCTCTCGCAGTCGCAGGCAACCAGTAGATTCTTTCTTCTCTCGCATACTGCAGTCGCTTCTTTCTTCTTTAGGGTAATGGGGTTGTCTTTTTCTATTGGGCTTGAAAAATTGCTTGGCCTAGCCTTTTCGCCTCAAAATTCCGCCTCAGACACGCCCTGGTGTGTCGGCAATCATTATTGTGTGGACCATGGTCCATACAAGTTGTGTGGACCATATTTTGTATACAATAAAATAATATATATTCAATACAAAAATAATGTACATTCAGTACAAAAATAATGTACATTATATTCAGGGGATGTACATTATTTTTGTACTGAGTGTACATTATATTGTATAATGTACATTCAGTACAAAAATAATGTACATTTAATATATTAAACATGTATTTTTTATTATGGTCCACATAACACTGTGTGGACCATGGTCCACACAATAATTTGCCATGTCTGAAGCGTACGCCTCACACGCTGAGGTGTACGCCTCTATTCATGCGGAAGAGGCATACGCCTCAATGCACATTGCCTCCTCCTCGTACTGAGGCGCGCCTTTTTAAACAATGTATCCAATTCATGTCCATGTTCCATGTTTTCACCGCGGACCAACCCATGAATACTGTAGAAACAGTAAACATCACATGAAACTTTCTTCACTGATTGCCACTTTTATTACTTCATTTTAATTCTCATTTATTCTTCACTGTGTTCCTTAAAAGATAACATTTAGAGAATGGTGTTTTAGTTACTTGATCAGGACAATGTACAGTTGTCTTGGTTTTTCTTCATCACACCAGATATGTGTATCTGAGTTAATTCTTGGGTATAAGTAACTAAGTAAGTGAATCTTTTTATTTTTTCTTTTTCAAGGGTATGATGGTTAAGATAAACTAAAAATGCAGGTATTATAGAGAAACCAATGGAAAGACATTGGGGATAAGACATGGGATTCAGTAGTATGTGATATTCAACTAAACATGCTCATCTTTAATATACTGGTGCTTATAATGAATGTGCCAGTTAAGTATTTGCCTAGCATCATAATTATTAATTTCACCATTTAGTTGGTATTGAAAGATTGAAAATTGAAATATTAATGGCATCATTCTTGTATACAGGGTTCAATATTGCAACTCTTTTTTTGCAGGGTAAAATGGTGTGTGAATGTTATCATTGCGTAAGTGAAGTGTTTTGTTGAAATTTCTTAATGAAAATCTTTTATTTGAAACCATTTATGCTAAATTCGAAATCTTTTATTTTTGGGAAGGCAGATATAAAGTTAGAAAATGTTTATGAACACACTAGAGTTGTAAAAGATTTTGTTCTTATGGAATTAAGTAATACTGGATTTGAGAACCTAATAGCATTTTGTAAAACTGACCATCGACTTCATAGACAACTACTTTGGTGTTTAACAAATACTACGTAGTTATGATTCTGAGAAGAAAGTTTTTCAGTTAGGATATAAGGGCGAAGTAGAACTCTACTTTGGTTTGTCTGACATATTATGCACCATTGGCTTGCTGATCAGGGGTAGACCACTGGTCGTAATAAAAGGAGATATTGTAGACACGATACGACACATATTTCCTGACTGTGAAGGCCTTAATGATAAAAATAAAGGATTAAGTTTGAAGGGTCCTAAAAATGTAGCAGTTGCCAAGAACAACCAAGGTTATTTATACTCATGAATTGCAATTAAGAGTCAAGGCAACACTTTTATATTTTTATTAGGAACTGTGATTTTTCCTGGTTCTTCACCAAATCATATGAACCCGATATGGGTGAATTTCATAGAGGACGATAATGAGATTGGAGACTATGCATGGGACCAAACGATATTTGGTGTGATGAAGAAAAACCAGGACAACTGTATATTGTCCTGATCAGGTAACTAAAATACCATTCTCTAAATGTTATATTTCAAGGAACACAGTGAAGAATAAATGAGAATTAAAATGAGGGAAAATCAACGATTTGGTCCCTCAATTGTTAGCGAAATATCAATGTAGTCCCTTAATCGTGTAATCATCGATTTAGTCCCTAGAAATAACTGTTTTTAGTTGATTTGGCCCCTCCAATCGTAGTCCGTTGAAAATCCGGCGATAGCTCTGATTTGGCATGGGTAATTTAGTCATTTCAGGGGTAATTTAATCCTCCTTCTCTAACAACCCCTCCTCCTCTTCTCGCCGCAACTCCACCATAGAAACCATGGGTGCCATTCTCGGAAAGCTTCTTCCAATCAAATACCCATCCCAGGAAGCCCGAGACTCATATAGGAAATCGCATAGCAAATCATATAGGAAATCACAGAGATTCAGTTTCGATTTTGTTCTTGCGATATATGAGCTTCAAATCACCATAATCTTTTGCTTCTTTCCCCGGCAAGCTTGCGGATTCAGCTGTGTGGGAGAGATGGCGAGGAACGGGGTGTTTTCACGGTGGCGGAGGGCTGAGGGGCTTGCCGGATTGTCGCTGCCCTCAGAATCTCACGACGTTCATGTCCTCGCCGTCGATGATAGCCTCGTCGACAAGAAAGTAATCGAGAAATTGCTCAAAATTACATCCTGCAAAGGTTTGCCGCGCTCCGGAATTTCGCCCTGAAAATTCGCAACTGCTCTGTTAGTTTCCATGTTCACTGAGATTGTAAGAAAAAAAAATTTGTTTGTTGCAGTGACAGCAGTGGATAGTGGGAGTAGAGCTCTGCAATTCTTAGGATTGGACAAGGAAGAGAGTTCTGTTGGGTTTGATGTAAGTGAATTCCATAAATTTGTTGATTTTTATTTTTTTTCTCTTTCATAATGTAGAATATTTATGGGTTTGGGTTCAGCAAAATTTGATTGATGATTGTTTTGTGGATGTGAATTTAGGGTTTAAAGGTGGATATGATAACCACAGATTATTGCATGCCTGGAATGACTGGCTATGAATTGCTCAAAGCGCTAGTTTCAGTTGCAACATATACAAGAAGGCACTAAAACCAGATCAGATTGATAGCGAAATTACAGAGTTTTCAGAACCCCTAGTTGAAAACGCTGCTAGAAGTGTGGTTAGTTCGGAGATTGTGGGAGAAGAGGGCGTGAGGGCGTGAGAGGTACTCCTTGGATGAGTCTCGGGCTTCCTGGGATGGGTATTTGATTGAAAGAAGCTTTCCAAGAATGGCACCCATGGTTTCTGTGGTGGAGTTGCAGCGATAAGATGAGGAGGGATTGTTAGAGAAGGAGGATTAAATTACTCCTGAAATGACTAAATTACCCATGCCAAATCGGAGCTATCGCCGGATTTTCAACGGGCTACGGCCGGAGGGGCCAAATCAACTAAAAACAGTTATTTCCAGGGACTAAATCAATGATTACGCGATTAAGGGACTACATTGATATTTCGCTAACAATTGAGGGACCAAATCGTTGATTTTCCCTTAAGGGTGTGTTTGGAAACCTGGAAAATGAGTTCTGGAAATCATTTTCCAAGTTTCCACTGTTTGGATGTGCCTGGAAAATCAAGTCAACGGAAATCATTTTCCGTTGACTTTGGAAAATAGGCTTGTTTTGGAGGAAAATGACTTCCCCTTTTTTTGGTGGGAAGTCATTTTCCAACTTTTACACCAACATCACACCACCACCAACATCATCAACACCATACCACCACCACCTCACTAACACCATACCACCACCACCATCACACCACCATCGCCGCCGCCACCACCACCACCATACCATCGCAACCACCGTCGCCGCCACCATACCACCGCAACCACCGTCGCCGCCGCCACCACCATACCACCGCAACCACCGCCACCACCACACCACCACCATCACACCACCGCCGCCACCACCACCATACCACTACAACCACCGTCGCCGCCACCGCCACCACCATACCACCGCCGCCGCCGCCACCACCATCACACCACCACCACCTCCACCAACCACCGTAACCACCGTCGCCACCATCACCACCACCATACCACCACCGCCGCCACCACCACCACCATCACACCCCCACCACCGCCGCCACCACCACCACCATACCACCGCAACCACCGTCGCCGCCACCACCACCACCACTACCACCACCGCCGCCGCCACCATACCACAACAACCACCGTCGCCGCCACCACCACCACCATACCACCGCCGCCGCCACCACCATACCACCGCAACCACCGCTACCACCACACCACCACCATCACACCACCGTCGCCGCCACCACCACCATACCATTGCAACCACCGTCGCCGCCACCACCACCATACCACTACCGCCGCCGCCACCACCATACCACCGCAACCACCACCACCATCACACCGCCGCCACCACAACCACCACCACCATACCACCGCAACCACCGTCGCCGCCACCACAACCACCACCATACCACCGCCACCACCGTCATACCACCACCAGTTATTATTATTATTATTATTATTATTATTATTATTATTATTATTATTATTATTATTATTATTATTATTATTATATAACAAATAACACCACTACCACTAGACCACCACCACCACCATAATATTTTTGATATACTATTAGTTATTTTTTTATTATATTTAAAATTATTATTATATATTATACATGTTGTAATATTCTAAATAAAATAATTAAAATGTTTAATTATACAATTCTACTCATTTTCCAGAAAATGAACCAAACACACAAAAACAGTTTTCCAGAATGCAACCAAACACTGGAAAGGAAAATGTTTTCCGGAAAATGACTCATTTTCCAGAAAACATTTTCCAGAAGTCATTTTCCTGCTTTCCAAACGGACCCTAAAATGAAGTAATAAAAGTGGCAATCAGTGAAGAAAGTTTCATGTGATGTTTATTGTTTCTGCAGTATTCATGGGTTGGTCCGCGGAGAGTGTTAGAAAATGGAGTGATTGATGATAGGGAAGTGAGGAAAGAAGATCTTCAGGCGTGTGTTCACTTTCCTATAAGCTTTAAATCTCCCTCATATAAAGCAACAAGGTTCAAGATTTAATCTTATGGGATACAAGAAGATGATGAAATTCTTAAATTGCTTTGTTTAAGAACTTCCTGTAGAATTGCAGTACTGTGAAAAATCTAGTTTTTGCATCTTCTTTTCAGACATTTCTCCACATATTTATAGATGTAAATATAGCAGTTTGGAAAAATTACATGGAAGTTACTGGAGTTCAAAAACTCAACTTCCATAAGACATATCTTATCTGATATATTGGGAAATATACAATTGAATATTATATATATTCATATGATATCGACCTTCGTAGGTTCATACACTGCATACAAAATAACAAAGTAAAATATTATATATATATATATATATATATATATATATATATATATATATATATATATATATTTATTTATTTATTTATTTATTTATTTATTAAATCATTGCATGTTAACATGCAAAATAAATAAATAACATATATAAATACTTACATGCATGCAGTAGACACAAACCAAAAAAGCTTATGTTTAATTTCATGTGGCCGAAAGAAGCAAACCATTTCATGCATCAACTCCTTTCAACGAATCCACCAATGCGTTAATATACTAATTGTACATCAATTCGTTAATGACGAATTGTACAGCAATTCGTTATTTACGAATTAGTACATCAATTCGTTATTGACAAATTGAACATCAATTCGTTAAGCATCGATTCGATATCATCGAATTGATTAAAACCATTGATTCGTTAAAAGTCAATAATTCATTAATACCAACGAATAATTAAAACCAACGAATCGCGCACATCAACTTGAGTACTATTCGGTTCCAATCGTACGCATTATTCATATTTCCCAACTTATTTTCTACCAAACTAAAACAATATTTATAACTCCACAACTCCAAATATTATTTAAACTTTTCATGGTAGTCCATCTAAAACATTAATCTCCATTACTATATAAATTTCCAACATTCCTCCTCCATTTATATAGTAAAAATTAACACTGTACCAATATATAGATCCAAAACTCATGCATAAATGAAAGTGTCTTAAAGATTGAACTTTCACATAGTATTATATGCGTTACATTAATTCGGATTGCAGTGATTGACGAACCTTGAATCACGCAGTCTCTTTGAAGAAACGTAGATATAATACACACAAGCTTTACAGTTACTACAATTCAAAATAACTTGACACTATTAAAGGCCCTGTGTCTGTATCCATTCATAAGCATATCCAAGAAAACCCAAACTTGTTGAAGCGGCCACACTTCATGCTCACATAGGTTGATCTTTTATTTCATGCCCTGCACCAAGAATTTTTTCAAAAGATCAATTAAGAGTAAAACTCATCCCTACTACAATGCAGACCAAGTACTTACCTTAGGGATATCTTTTTAATATAGTACTTGCAGCCAATAAATGAAGTAATTATCTACATTGAACTCAAGGCCTAACGTAATAACTTAGGCGTGAGTTGAGCTTTCCTTCATCTCTTGCCTATCAACGGGTTTCAAACATATCCCTTCCGATGTCTTAAAAACCATGTCCCTTGCCAAGGCTTTTGTAAACGGATCCGCTAGATTGAACCGGGACCGTACAAAGTCTAGTGCTACAACACCATTATTTAAGAGCTCTTTCACATAGCTATGTCGCAAACCTATGTGTCTTGACTTGTCATTATAACACTGTTATATGCTTTGGCCAGTGTAGTAGCGCTGTCACAATGTACTAAAACATGTGACATCGGTTTTGGCCAAACTGGAATTTCAAGAATTAAATTCCTTAGCCAATCAGCTTCTTTGCATGCTACTGCCAATGCAATAAATTCAGATGCCATAGTTGAGTCTGAAATATAACTTTGCTTTTTAGAAGCCCAGGAGATAGCACCTCCTCCAAGCATAAATACCCATTCACTAGTTGAGGAATAATCTTCCTAATTTGATATCCAACTGGCATCAGAATATCCTTCAAGGATGGAAATATCTTTTGAATATTTTAAACCATAATTAATAGTTTTATTCAGATATTTTAAAATTCTTTTTAAAGCCATCCAATGTATTGCACTAGGATTGTGACACCCCGTATTTTCATAAAATAAATTATAGTCCCGATAGTAAATATTTTTCTTAATATATATATATATATATATATATATATATATATATATATATATATATATATATATATATATATATATATATATATATATATATATATATATATATATATATATATATATATATATATATAGCTAATTAATTTAAATGGGCTCGGGTCTACCTATTATTGTGAATCGGCATTTTTGTGCCCAAATGCCTTAAGCCCAAAAATATATTTATTATTTATATGTTATGTATGCTTTGAACCCAAACTAGTCAAGCCCATATGTTGTATAATGTATGTGTTATTATTATTATGGGAACCCAAAGTGTTTAAACCCAACCCAAGTCTAGCCTAAGCCCAACCTAAATAATAGAAACCCTATCCTAGTTAGATAAATAATATGTGTGTATACGTATGTTTTATATTTTGTTCCCCGAGCTGATCAACCAAACCCTTCTCCTATTTCATCTCTTCGGCCAAGCTTCCCTTCCGCTCATCGTAGCTCTCTCGACCAACGGCAGGGCAGCACGTCTCCGGCAAACTAGCGGCTACGTCAAAGCTTCGTGACCTCTGTTTTTCCGGCAGTTTCTCCGACATGGCAGCAACAACTTGGGGAGTGGCGTTCGACCATCGACAGTAGTTAGTTAGGAAGAGGGCGGTGGTTCCACCTTGTCGACGCCATCAAGGCAAGGCAAAGCAACGATCATTCTTCCTCTTTCCTGGAGCGGCGACAGTCCGAGAGGAGCTCCGGCGAAGTGGCAAAGGTAGCAGATTTTCCAGCGGAAGTGACGGAACAGGGCAGGTCCATGGCGATGGCAGCTTGGGTGAAGCTACGGCGAGCATCTCCTTCCCCGACGGTGACGACGTGACGGTGAGGCTCCGGCGATGTGTGGCTGTGGTGCACCATTGATATGGCGACGGGTGGTGGAACTGCCCGTGGCACCACCCGCGGCCTTGTGGCAGAGAAGATCGAATAAGAAGATGGAGAAGATTGTGAGCTTTGCCTATCCTTGTTACTTAGTAGATGTTAAATAGGTTGTTGTTAAGTAATGTTACCAAAGTGGTGCTTAGTGTAGTAGTAAGGTAGTGGGTAAGTTAAAGTTTGGGAGAGGGTTTGAATCCCTTATTAGCTTAAGTTTTAATTATTAGCTTTTAATTATCCTCCAAATTTTCTCCATGTTGACCAAAGAGACTGACCAGTTGTCTAAGCTAGGGGTGTTAATGAACAGAGCTTTTAGCAAACTACTCGTGTTCATGTTCGGTAAGCGTTCATTTATGTTCGTTTGTTAAGATAAACCAACCATTAACAAACAAAATTAAGAGCCCAGTTAATAACGAACAAAGCTTGAACATTTGTATGCTCGTTTGCTAAGAGATCGTGAACAATCTCGTTTGTGTTCATTTAATAATGTTCGTGAATAAACTCATTTGTGTTCGTTTAATAATGTTCGTGAACAAGCTCGTTTAGTGTTCGTTTAATAATGTTCGCGAACATGTTCACAAACATATATATACATAGACATGGGTAATTAGGTAATTTAACACAAGTCACTTTCATTTAGGGTTTTCCCCTTTTCTCCTTCAAATTTTTCCCACCCGCAGTCCGCAACTCCGCACTTTCTCGCTCATCCACTGGTCGCTGCTGCCATTGTTCTTCACCAAATCACCAGATGGTAAGTTGTTTCCTAAACTCACTATTTGCAAGTCGCACTTCAAGTCTTTAATACCCCATCCTTTCACAGTTCCAATAAACTCACCATTAACACTCAGAAGTAGACATAGACATGCCTCCCTCACACCTCCACCACTACTCCGCAATGACGAGCGTAGTAGCCAACGCACCTCTCTCTCACTCTCTCTCTCTCTCTCTCTCTCTAATATTTTTTTTTTAAAGATTTCTGTCTATTTTTATTTTGGATATTCTTTTTCTTTTTCTTGATTAGTGTTTAATCATAGTATTATATATGTTTTATTTTGGATATTCTTTTTCTTTTCTTGATTAGTGCTTAATCCTACTATTATAAAATCCTTTAAAAATTGTATATGATAGTCAAATAGATGCATTTGTATATGAATATTGTTTATATGATATATATATATATATATATATATATATATATATATGCATTGAAACACATATGGTCTGCTGTTCAATCCATCCATACAGATCTCCTTGCTTGCTTGCTATTTCAATCTTCTGCGAAGCCTTAGAAACAAATACGGTATTTTTAGTATTTTTATACAGATTAATATTATTGAGTTTAGATTCACTTTAGAACTAGTATGCCACTTTGACATTGTATTTGTGTGAAAGTCAATGAACTTGAAGTTTAGAGTATTATCCAAAATGGCATGTAAAATCTTATCAATTCCGATCACAATGGTTGCTTCAGAGTCAACATTTAGTGCTGGTAGTAGAGTTATTGATACATATCGGGCATCTTTGGGGACCTATACTATTCAAATGCTACTTTGTGGATCAGAAGCGACTAGTTGCGTAACTTATATGATATAAAAAGAAAACCAAAAGTAAGTATTCTCAACTCTTTTATTTAGTATATTCCATTTATGTAATTATCTTCAATACTTTGCATATATAATAATAACAATATATATCATTTAATGTAGTTTACTGAAGATGTGAAGACGATATCACTTGAATGAACTTGGAGTTAAGGTATTATTGTATTAAGCTTTTGGGATGATGGAATGAACTTGTAGTTAAGGTATTAAGCTTTTGTGATGATGGATGCAGAATGTAAATATCTCATGCTTTATGTTTTTACGCTTTGGCTTGTAATGTGAACAGACAAATTATGTGTTTGTGTATTTTTATTTTATTTGAGACTTGAATTTTTATTTTGATATTAGTGCTACGAGTTGACTTATTTAGTTATTTGTATTAGTTTTGTAATTGTGTTGTTTATTTGATTATTGTTCGTGAACATAGATTATTTCTTGTTCACAAACGAATTGTGATCATGAACATGTGCAGGTGTTTGGTTATTAATGGTTCACGAACGTGTTCAGGAATGTAAACCAACATGTTCGTGAACGTGGTTGTTAACGAACATGTTTGTGAACGTGTTTGTTAACGTTAACGAACACGTTCGTGTTAACGTTAACAAACACGTTCGCAAACATGTTCGTTAACGTAAACGATCACGTTCGTGAACGTGTTCGCTAACATTAACGAACACTAATTAACGCTTGACAAACGAACACAAACAGAATTTTCAAAAATCTTAACAAACAAACACGAACACGAACACTCCAAAATTCTTAACAAACGAACACGAACAACCTTTGTTCGTTTATGTTCGGTTCATTAACAGCCCTAGTCTGAGCATCTCCTCATGACTTTAAATATCTGTCTTGGGGTGGTCCTTGAGGTGCTAGTCCTTGTTGTTCTTTTAACCAAGTATATTGGTTAGTTCCAGATAATTTGCTCCATCATCTTGGTCTGAAGCTAAGAGCAAATGGTGGTGGTGGTCTGAAAGATCCTCTACTTCTACTTCTGCTATGACTGCCTCTTTTTCCCTTTTTGGCATCATAAATGGCCTGAAGGATGGAAGAGTCTATGAGTTGTTACTTCCTCATATCTTCCATTGATATATTGTGACACCCCGAAATCCAAATTCAATTAAGGGGTTAATTGAGTAACTAATCCTATCTCAATTTGTAATTTAATTCCTTAAATTCCTGAAATTTAATAGTTGGGGACTAGTAATTGACTAGTCAACCCCAAAGTCAAAGTTGTACATTGAGCTTTGTAAGGAGTTCCCTTGTTCCTTACACTTCCTTATGTTAGTAAGGGTATTCTTGACCTTTCACTTGTTGTTGGTATTGTAACCTAACCTAGTAGACCACCTTCATTCTCTCCTTACACTTTTCTAAAAATCTAGCTCCACCTTCTCTCTAAAAAGGTGAGTAGCTTTTCTTCCAAGCCAAGTTGAAGCTTTGCACTTCAAGAGTTGCTTCCAAGATTCAACCTTTCATATATTTGGGCATCCAAGAGGGTAAGATCTAAGTTCATCTTGTGTTTTTGGTTTTATCTAAGGTGTATTTTCTTAAAGATAGGATCTTTATGATCTTTTGGTATGTTCTTGAAGTGGGTTTGGAAGGTGAGCCTTGAGAGGAGCTTGTTGAGGTGTAAAGTGAAGTCTTTAGTCTACAAGAGGTAACCCATGCTCTACAAAACCTATTTTGCTTACCTATATGTGATTTCTTGGATTCTACATGTGTTTTTCTATGAAATGTGAGTGTTGATGCATGATCTTGTGAAAATGCATATCTAGAGCTTGTGTTTAGGGTTCATTTGTGTCATTGTTTGGCATTTCCTTTGATTCAAGTCATTTTGTTGTATTTGGTGAGATTTGGCATGTTTTGGACTTGTATTTAAGTTTGGAGATGAAAATCCCCGAAGGGATTGTTTTGGTACAGGACGTGTACCCGCGGGCGGAACGTCAGGCGGGGCACCACCCGTCGCCCCACCCGCGGGGTACAAGGCCTCGTGGGAGATGTTCCCGCGGGCGGAACCACGGGCGGGGCACCACCCGTGGGTCCACCCGCAGGGAACATGCTGTTGTTGTTGTGGGATTTGTTCCCCGTGATTCTTTTGACTCGGTATTTGGTCTTTGGACTTCCAGATGTTCTTTTGTGGAACTATTTGAGTGTCTTCTTGATGTTTCGTATGTCTAGAACTATATGGTAGGATTCCATGTAGGTTTTGGTGTCTTGAATCGTGCTAAGTGTTCAACATTGTGTTTCGTTGAACCGTGATGAGTCTTGTGTGTTCTTCGGAACTATCTTTGGTTTGCCCGTTTGATAAGCATGCTAGTTTGGTTTTTAAATGCTAGCATGTGTGTTGTTTGTACCTTCCTATTGGTTGATGATAACTTGTGTTATTCATCGTTGTTGTTGTTGAACTGTGATCCATTCCTTGATTGAGTATGATTTCATATCTTCGTTGTGATCCGTTGATTGATTCCTGTTGAGGTGTGATGTGTGTGTGGCTTTACCTGGATTGCATGATTAGTGGTATGGGACACTAGTCACCAAGGTATTGCAGCGGTCCTCGTGGTGGCCGTGACGTGATTATGGAGTTGTGACCTTTGTGTAAGGTTCACGTGATTCTTGGGTGGCATGTGTTGCCGTGTGTGTGTACGGTACCCTCGTGTACTATGAAATTTGTGGTCTCGTTGGTGGTCGTTGGTGGGGGACGACGGTCCCAGGAGGGAAAAGGTTGGACTTGGTTGTACAGGGGTCCTGGAGGTAATGGTTGGAAGAAGATACAAGGTTGGGGGTAGTCATAAGGTTGGAACCGGGCATAATGAAGGCATATCAACTCGTGATGGGTGATGTCACGAGGGCTCGTGTAGCCGTTGTTGTGAGTTTTCTTCTTGTGACGTGTGTAGTCACAAGGGCATGTGTGGCCTAGGCATGTGTTGCCATCGGTCTTGTCTTTACCCTTTGTGTTGTGGTTATCCTTTGTGATTTTGGGATGTGTTCCCGTGTTCTTGTTGAGAGTGTTGAGTCTTGTGTTGCCTACTACTCTTGGTTTTGTACTTATATACTTATGTATTCCGTTTCGAAAATGGCTTTACAACTTATACCTTATCTATGTATGTTATTTCACATGTATTGGTGGGTTACCAGCATTATTCGCTGATCGGGAGTCGTCCCATGTTTTATTGTGTTCTTTCAGGTGATGTCTAGACGAGTGCGCGTCTAGTGCTTGCTAGTATAGCTTCTCCCTCTTTGTTTTGTGGCCTGTGTGCCAGTTTAGATGTAGTACTTTGATACTATGGGTTTAGATGTAAACATTGCAGATGTTGCCGTAGCGTTCATCCTTTTGGTGAACATGGCATAACACCCCATGTTTCAGATTATGTTTATCTAGTTATCTTTCAGTCTTCCCCTGTGTTTGTTGTTTAGCTCAGTTATCTGCATGTTTAAGGCTTTTAAATAGCTTGTTTTTATGGGGTGTTACATATATGCATTTTACATATAGGCTCCATTCTGGATTGAAGATTTTTGAAGTAGTTTACCATCCTTTACTGGACAGCAGCCAATTCAGCTTTAAGATATTCAATCTGATTCTGCAGAGCCTGGTTTCATTCCTCATTTCTCTCTTCATTTCCTGCTTTTCAAACATGTAATCTCTGAAAAACATGGCAAAGTTGTCCTAGATTTCATGCTTAGCCTGTAAGTTAATCCTAAAACATAAGATCTTCAGAACACATGCCTTTCACATACTGTATTTAAATAGCGTTCTAGGAACATACCTGACTCCATTATTTTCCCGTAGTTGCTTGAGTTAGAAACTTGATTTCTCCCTTCAGACCTTTAACATTCACTTAATCTAATTCTCTGATGGAGAGAGTTTTAGTTTTTAGAGAGGTTGGGGAGAGGACCAAAGTCTCAGAATGAAAATATAAATGATATTACGTTCCATCAACGTAAACCTGATGATATGCAGTTGAAACTGCAATCTTATCTTCTTAACTGACCAATCACAGGATTATCTCATTATTAAATTATAAATAGATATTTAATTATGAGCCACAATAAATCATAATGAACCATAGAATAATAAGAATAATAATAATTATTCTAACATTCTCCCACTTGGCTCATAAGTCATAAATTTAATAATGAACTTGAAACATAATATGCATAGTATAAGTTAATTCCTTCATTATATTGGTCAGAACATAAGTCATCGTTAAGTTAGAAATTAATAAGAATCATGGCGGTAATACGTCACTAATTTAACGCAGTCCCTTCCATGTATCACAATATTAATTTCAAACTCAATATGATTCATAATAAACTTTTTCATTATGGTCCACGATAATGTCTTTGTCAAAGACAAATCCTGTTTATATTAACATAAAACATTCATGTATATATACTTCATAAACTAAACAGGATACTTTAATACAGAAACGAAACTATATTGAGCTCTAAGTATCAAATATTTCAAAACACAACCTTAACATAATGTTAACAGTTTCCAATAACGCCCATTCTTTCAACATGCTCACGAAATGCCTTCGGTGGCAATGCTTTAGTTAATGGGTCTGCAATCATTAATCTAGTGCTTACATGTTCAATTGATACTCTTCGTTCCCGAACATCTTCTTTAACGGCAAGATACTTCATATCAATATGTTTAGCACCACTAGTATACTTGTCGTTTTTAGAAAAGAAGACTGATGCAGCATTATCACAATAAATTTTCAGCGGCTTGGCAATACTGTCAACAATTCCAAGTCCCGAAATAAAATTTCGCAGCCATAATCCATGATTTGTGGCCATAAAACATGCCACAAACTCAGCTTCCGTAGTGGATGCAGCAATGACAGTCTGCTTCGCACTTTTCCAAGAAATAGCCCCCTCAGCTAAAAGGAATAGATAACCAAATGTGGACTTCCTTGTGTCCAAACACTCGACAAAATCTGAATCTGTGTATCCTATCACCTCAAGGTGATCAGATCGCTTATAAGTAAGCATGTGTTCCTTTGTACCTTGCAAGTACCTTAATACCTTCTTTGCAGCATTCCAGTGATCCATACCAGGATTACTTTGATAACGACCAAGCATCCCAACAGCAAAGCTAATGTCTGGTCGGGTACATGTTTGGGCATACATCAAACTCCCAACGAAAGATGCATAAGGAATATTTTCCATTTCCTTACGCTCCAATTCATTCTTAGGGCATTGCATAAGGTTGAACTTATCTCCCTTCTGAATTGGAGCAACTGATGCAGAGCATTTTTCCATTCTAAATCTTTCTAAGACTTTGTTAATATATGCTCTCTGAGACAAT